GGGAGGAGGGAGCCGGGCAGCCCCTCCATTAGCTCAGTGCAGCAGCGAGAACAGCTGTGAAAAGAGCCCAGGCCTTTTTCCCACGCCCAGAGGAGCGGAGCGAGGGAAGGAGCCCTCCCAGCGAGGTCAGATCCCATCACTAATATATACACAGGCTGTGCCCTCATTCACGTCACCCCGGCGCAGGTTTGTTTAAGGCGCGCACACTGACACTAATTTCTCCTCCCGCTCGCTCCCCCAGCCGGCCCCATTATGGTCCCTGCTGCATTAAACCCTCCCCACGGCCCCACGACGGCTGCGGCTCCGCGGTCCCCCCAGCACCTGACCGGCAAGGTCAAGAGGAGCCCGAGCCGCCGTCGCCGCTGGATCTGGCCGGCAGCTGCTGCGCGGCCGTGCGGGGCAGCTCACAGGAATGCGTCCTGCAGATGGGACCTGGCGGGGCACGCGCAGCGTCCCCGTGCTCTGCAGAGCGCTCTGCCCTCTCTGCTCTCTTCCCTTCCCGTCCGTCCCCGGGATGTAGCACGGCTGCATCCGTCCCGAGGCTGCGGGTTGAGTGCGTTCCTAGTCTCTTCTCGTTTTGGGCAGCCATCCCGAGGATGCAGTGTGGGTGCGTCTCAGGTTGCTCCGCAGCTCTCATGGTGAGAAGGGATGCTCACACCTGGGTTTCCTATGCGGGGTTGGTTGCAGCCCCTGTCCTCCCTCGCCCTGCAATGCCCGGCATCCTCACAGAGATGGGCATGGAATAAATCAGCCCTTGTTTATTCTCGTGTCTGGGCTTGGTGTGTGAGTTCGTATTAAAACATTCTGCCTTAAATTACAGCCTAATAAATCAATACCCACTTAGCGATGCAAGAGAGTGGGAGCGGTTTGTGCAAAGAATTGAAGTTGCTCTGCTGCTCTCAGGCACTGCAAAGGGCAAAGGAACAAGTGCTGCCTGGGCAGCTGGGCCCTGCTTCCATCCCCCTGCCTGGGAGACGTGTGTGCACAGCAGGGTTGTGCACGGGCATGGCCAGGATATGTGTGCATGGCTGTGCATGGCCAGGGCATGCATCTGTGTGGTTGAGCATGACTAGGACATACGTGTGCGTGGCACGGAGGACACGCATGTGCACGGCTGTGCATGGCAGAGACGAGCAGATGCACGGCTGTGTGTAGCAGGGATACTTGATAGGGTCACTGTGTGCCTTCATGCCATGGACAGGCATGGTGCAGCCTCACAGCAACTCTCAGCCCCACCAGCTCCACCGTGCTGTTAATTTCTGCCCCAAACAGGACAATGTGGTTCTTCCATCCAGCTCACAACCTCCTCTGCTGCACCGTTTCCCCCTGTTCAGAGTGCTTGCTGATGCCCTGCACCCAGCAGCAGTTTTCCTTGCACATCCTCCTCTCCTCCATCTCACCTTTCCCTTCTCTAATCCCCTCGTATTTGCTTGGGCCTCCATCCAGGGCCATCCACCCTTTTATAGGGCCACTGCTAAGCAAATGCTCCCTTTGCTTTGCTAAACAGGGACTCCTCCTTCGTGCAGCCAGGGTTATGGGGACCAGCCCTATGCCTTTCTCGGGGCTGTGTGTTGCCTCCTGGCACCGTCTATCCTCCTTCTCTCCTGGGATGGATGGGGAAGGACACATGTGCCAGCCCTTTCTGCCATGGTTGCTGCCCACTTCCACCAGAGCCTCCTGTGGCAATGCCCAAGGACCCCATCCCCATCTCCCCCCTTTGCATCTGAGCTGGTTTCATCCCTCCCCCCTCATCTTCCTTGCCAAGCCCTGACACTTGATGGCAGCCCCATTCAAAATGCATGGACTCCCCTTTCCAAGCGCCCCGGTCCTTTTGAACTAAAAGGATTTTCTCAGAGGCTAAGTTCAAATGTATGGCCGTTATTTATTTATCACCCCGCGATGTATTATTCATTTATTTAAAAATGTATGGCAGCTGGGAGCCCCGTGTTTAATCACCCCATGGATGGCGAGGGCCAGGTGGAGACGGCCCCTCGCTCCGCCGCTAACCTGGCGCGGTTGCTGCCGCCGAGACTCCGACCTCACGCCTGATTTAGCATCAAGGCGGCCCAAAATAACCCCAACCCCACGGCAGCGAGAGCACAGTGGCCTGGTGGGGTGGGCATGGAGATGGGGTTGGTGTTTTTGAGGGTGCCAGGAGGATGTGGCACATGGTGGAGGAATGGGGCTGCTGCAGCGCTGCTGCTTGCGGATGGCGATGAGGATGGGGACGGGGATGAGATGGGGATGAGCTGGGGATGGGGATGAGATGAGGATGGGGATGAGATGAGGATGGGGATGTGTCCTGCCCACGGCCTGGCCCCACGAGTGGCCCCAGCTGTCAGATTGCTTCCCAGCCCCTCGGCGAAGTCGCCAACACGGCGCTGATGTGCGCCGAGGCGGGCAGGGAATGGCGCTGCTCTGCCAGTGGGAACAGCAGGGAGAAAATGGGAGAAAAGCACTGTGACACAGCGGGGATGTGCCCAGCCCTCCCAGCTTCTCCTTTTCCCCATAGGGCTGAAGGACCGCATCCCCTTGGGAGGAGCACGAAGGGTTAAGGATGCTCTGTCTCTTAAACTCCCCACGTCCCCCCCACGCGCTCCCACCACCCTCTTCCTCGCTGGCCACTCACTAATTGAGACAGCTTCAGCCCTTGCCTCCCTCCTCTCCCCCTGGGGCTGAGCTGCCTCTTCCCAGGGGGAGCACATTGTCTGCTCCAGCCTGGTTGATGTAATCCCTAAGCCCGAACAATACTTCCCCACCCCGCTCCTGCTGAAAGGGTATTAGTTGCCCAATGAGATAATTACTCCCCAGGCCACCATAATCATCGTGCCCGGCCAGCCGCTTTCCCCTGTCCTGTGGTGCCCATTTTGTGTGTTCAGGGCGCTCCATAGCACCGTCAGGACCCCAAATGCCTGCTGATCCAACAGCAGAATAGAGCAGAGAAGAGGGATGCTGCTGAGATGCTGCATTCGGCTCATTGAGGGCAGCCCCATTGCCCCTTTCACCCCAAAATGTCACCCATGGGTGGGGGTTGGGGTGCCAGTGGGCGCAGGATGAGGATCTCCGAATGTGCTGGGATACTGGGGCCGTGCCAGCAGTGCCACAGCGCTCAGCTCCTGATGGGGCACGGGTGGGATGAGCCCATTCCTGGGATTTGGAATTTCCCAATTTCATATCCCTGGTTTGGTCCTCGCTGACGAATATCCAGGCAAAAATCTGGGGAGGGGAAGGGAGGGTGGCAAAACTCCACTTTTTAATTCAATACTGGTGTTTGTGCCGTGTATTCTTTCGAAAAACAGAATTTCAGCAATTGCTGAAACTATCCCAAGTGATAGGATCGATGAGAACAGTTTCCTGAATTGGCTGAACAGGAAATAAGCCGTGTTCTCAGCTCCCGCCTGCAGCCCGAGGAATGGAGCCGGGGCTGCCTTCACTCCGAGGTGCTGCACGCGGGGACATCAGCATGAAAACGGGGTAAAAGGGACCTGACTGGGGATGCCCCAATGAGAGCCAGGTTAACCCTGTGCTTTGTGGCTGTGATGATGGGGCTGGGCTCCCATCCCGCGATGCCGGCACAGAGCAACGCAGCAGCAGCGATCGTCCCGAGGAGGTTGGGCTGAGCCCGTCCTGAGGAGCGGCGCTGGGGGCACCTGGGGGTGCGGGGGAGATGCAAACCCTCTTTGCGGCTCTAAGGTTGATGATTCGGGTTGGAGGATGCTCTCCGGGTTTTGCAAGGTGGGACAGGTGCACGGAATGCGTTGTGTGAACACACAGCAGTGTGGGGACCCCTCCCCAAACGCTGATGGGACGGCGGCTGCTGGCGCGGGGCTGCGCCAGGCCAATGCTGAGAGGAGCGGCGAGGGACGCTGCCGGCCGCTCCTCCCCGTCCCTTTTCTTGGCCGATCTCTTCTGACAGACAAACACGGTTTCTTTCTCCGAAACAAAGTCCTTGTCCAGCCGAGCACACAAAGCGGATCCATTATCCGATGGGGGACAGAAAGGAGGGGCTGGGGGGGGGGTTGAGGAGGGGGGGGGGCTGCCGGCGCACAATGCACACAAGTGGCGCGCGGGGCCGCCCCTATTGTGTCTGGGCAGGAAGGGCCGGGACCCACGGCGCGGCCCCGTGAATGGCAGCATTGTGTCTGAGCCTTCGTCGCCTTGGGCGTCCCCGGCCCCCTGTCCCCCCCCCCCCCCGCCTCCCCCCGAGCTCCTGCCGCCTGTCTGTGGCAGAGCCCGACCCGCTCCCCTGGGTGGGGAAAGCTGCCGTTCTCTGTTTTTGGGGTCGTAGAATCCCGTTGGGCACTACAAGGGATGGTTGGCCAAAGGGGTGTTGGATGGGTTGGATGGTGGGGAGCGAAGGAAATAGCCCCAAAGGTGTCAACTGTGGGTGGAGTGGGGACTGAGAGGGTTGAAGTCCTCTGTGCCCAGCACAGAGAAGGGATTTTTGGGGCACAGATGTGCTGATTTGGGCAGGATGAGGCATCTCATCACTGACACATCTAAAGGGAAAGGTTTGTCTCAGTCCGGATGTGACTGGGACGTTGATGGAGCCGATCGATGCTCCCGCAACCCATGGTGCAGAGACGAAATGGAAGCTGCTCCCCAAGCAACGGCCTGCATCCCAGCTCTGCTCTGCCACCATATCCCAGGAGGAACATTTTGGTGGGCAAAGGACGATGGAATCATCGAATGGTTTGGATTGGAAAGGATCTCAAAGATGGCTCACAGCTGTGTGTGATGGCTTTGTGCTGGCTGCCTGCTGGAGGTGGCCATGGTGCCCCATATCCCACACTCAGTGACAGCCCTGGCTAGGAGCAGCAGGGTCCTGGGGACTCCAGGCTGTCAGCATAGGGCGAGCAGCAATCTGTCCCCTCTGTCCGACCTCACCGTTTCTTTCCTTGCGAGGTAACTCGAAGGAAAACGGTGCTTCCAGCTCTTGCAGCGATGCGGGCAGCCAGGCAGCACCTCATGCACTGCTCATCTTGTTGTTCTGTTTGCAGAGGGGAAATCCCCGCATCGCTCCCATCGCTCCCATCCAGCAGCAGCCACCGCAGGCAACGGGGGACAGGGAGCAGCGGGGACAGCGGGGAGACAACCCTATGGCAGCACCCTCAGAATCCAGGGGGAGATGTGCCCTGCCAGGACCTGGTGCTGTGGGTTTGCAGCCACAAATCTGGGCATGGGTCCAGGGGATGGGAGGTGCAGCTGCAACCCCAGCGTGACTCAGAGATGGGACTGCACCCATATTCCACCAGGGATGCTCCAGAGCCTCCTGGATGCGGTAAGTTTGGGTTTCCTTCTTTATTTCTTGCGTCTTTTATTTAAAAATCCTCTCTGAAAATTGCACCAAAGGTCTGTGCCATTGGTAACAGCTTCTGGTTAACGTTGCTTTCTCCCTATTTGCTTTCTAATGTACATGTTGAATCTTCTCTATATGACTCAAAACATCATTTTCTGTGATCAAACAGCATAACAAGGACTCTCCCTCCATCTCCTCTTGCTTTCCCCCAGCCAGGATTGCATCTTCCCCCAGAACCCCCCGTTCTGCTCCATCCCACCCACCTGTGCTGGCAGACACTGGATTCAGTGACATGAGCACCTCCCATCTCCTTTGGATGCTTGTTTTAGGGTATCATTTAAATCTGTGCAGAGGATGGAGATGGCGATGGAGATGAGGATGAGGATGGAGATGGGGAGGAGTGCAGCCATTGAGCATCCCTGTGAGTTAGTCAAGGGAAGAGCCTGCAGCCCCTGCAGCTCAGTGCTTTGCACGTGACAGCAGAGCTGCCCGTGGCAGCAGCAAAACAACTCGCACCTTCCCCAGGGCTGCGTGGCACAGGCGCTGCGGGTCACCCACACTCCCAGAGGGATTTCTTCTTCCTCATCTCCATTGCAGGATTTGGGTCCTCACTTCTGTTCCCCCCCAGCTGCACGTTGAGGGGGTGAGCAGCATTATCCCTCGTTTTCCCTCTCTAAAAGCTGCATTTGGGGCCACGGGTGCACGGGGTGGCAAAACCCACATCTGCCGGCACCGTCCCGCGCAGACCCCAAGCACTCTGCCCACCGCCATCGCAGCTCTGCCCCCCTCCCATCCCTTTTTCCTCCGTCCCTTTATTCCAGTGCCCCTTCTCCCCATCCCGCTGTCAGTGATGGGGTGGGGGTGGCCGGGCCCCTCGGTGCCGTCCCTGTGCCCGGCGGTGCCCCCAGCAGCTGCTCAGCGCCGCGGGCGAACCGCCCTCCGCCTCGCTCTAAGATGGCCGGCGGCCCCAAAATGGTGCTGAGCATGAGACGCCATCTGCAAGGCTGGTCCCACGCCCGCCGTGGCCTTTTTATGCAAAGGGGAATTAATTAGATTTGAATATGGTAATTAAGCCATCAAGCCCGCCGGTGCTACGAGGTCCCTTCTTTTCTTCGGGCTTTCTTCTCGCCCCTCTCTCCCGCCGCCCCTTAACCCTTCCCCCTCCGCTGGTGCACCCACAGCACCGCTCGTGCATCCTAATGAAACGCCGCTGCCGAGATGTGCCCTCGCCACCCCGTTCTCAGGGTTCTGTCTGTCCTTGGGACTCCATCCGTCCGTCCATCCCTATGGGTTGAGCGCGACGGCTGCGCATCCCTCCCCAAAAATCCCCGTGGTCGCGTAGGGATGGCCGCCCAGAATCGGGCCATGCGTCGCTTTGGGGTTTCAATGTCTGATAGGTGCGGTGGGAAATCGTTCCCAAATCCATTCCCCCCAGTGCTGGGCTGTGTTTTAAGCCCTTCAGATCCTCAAGGTGCTCTCGAGTGGTTTTTCTTTTCCACGCTTTGGCTCCGGGCCGTGGGGCGCTGCTGATACCCAACCGCTGTGCGTCGGGATTTCCGCCCCATATTTTGTGCTTAAAAGGAAAAATAATAGAAAATGGAATGTGCCCCACATGTCTGCATCCAGGAAATTATTATTATCTTTTTAAACTGAGAATTAAAGGTTTTCCCATCCCTGCGTTCCTTGCTTGCAGCCCCGCACACAGCTTCTAAGCCGGGTGATGGTGCCAAGATGGGAGCACAGCACGCAGGGATCTGAGCAGGGAAACAAATCCCAGGAATATTTTTTTACAGATATTCATCTCCATAAGGAAAAAATATATTTTTTTCTTCTCTTTTTCGTGCTCAAGAAGGAAAAGAAAAAAATGGGGAAAACCTGCAGGAGCTCAGAGATGCCTCTGGGCGCTTTCTGAATGAGAAAACTTGGATGGGCGGCTCTTAAAAATAGGGATCTTTGGAACGGGGTCACTTTTGGTGAAACTTTTAACTGTGCTGGCAATCTGCATCAAGATTGAAACAAAATAAAACAGGATTACACATGTATATATGTGTTGTACATATAGATACGGGATGCCATCCTGCACACAGGCGTTATATGTGTGTTTATATGTGCAGTGCACAGTGTGAGCCTCCTGCCCAGGCTGCTCGGGTTGGAGCCCACCGCTGCTGCTCGTTAGGACTCCTTTTACACAGAGCAGAAGGGTCGGGACGCAGGGATGGGGCAAAACTCATCTGTTTGAGGCTACGCTGCGACTTTCCAGCTCTTCGCCCCCGGGAGCAGTTCGGTGGCTGCAGCATCGCGCCGCCCTCCCGCTCGCTGGGAGCATCCAGGGGTTTAATCCAAGCTGGCACCGCTGCCCGCGGGAGGGGCGGCCCCGGGCTGGAGCCCCCGCGCCCCCCCAGCCCTGACCTACATAGCGGGATGCGGCCACCTGAGCGGCCCCGAGCCACCCGCGCCAGCTGCTGCGCGCAGGGACAGGCGCCCGTCCTCCGCATTTCCTCAGGGCTCAGTTTGAGAGAAATAAGGGAGAAACGGGTTTTCTCGCTGCCGGTCCCAGAGGGCTGCTCAGGATGCCGTTGGGTACTGAGCTGCAGGCTCTGCCCCATCCTCACCCCGTGGCACTGGGATGGTGGCGGTGTCTTTCTTGCCCAAGTGCTGGTAGCATCTCCTGGGCTGCATTTCTCATCTGTGTGAATGTGGGCACAAGCCTCAGGGGCGTTCATCCCCGCTGCCACCGCTCTGCAGAGCCCTCCTATAAAGCAGAGCGAGGGAAAACAAGTGGGGAATGAGGGAGGGGGATAGAAAAGGGAAAGCTGACAAACAGGAGAGGAAAGGCAGCGGTGGAGATAACCGTGGGACAGATAACGCCGAGCACAGAGGGGAAATGCAGGAGGGCTGCTGGCAGATTGAGGAGAGGTGGGAAAGGGGGAGTGAGGACAGAGTGCAGTGGGGCCTGGGGGTGGCAGTGGTGGCAGGGGGGTCCGTGCCACGCTGGGATAACCCAAAGTCAGGCAGCGTCGCCGTGGCCCCACTGCCGACCCCCAAAACTCCCAGCAGAGCCGTTGGCGGATGGGCACTGAAGGCGGTGGGGCTGCGCCTCCCTCACCACACGAAGCCTTCCTGCAGGATTTTCTCCCCATCCCGCTCACCCCGCCTTCCCGCAATGCCACGTGGATTCCCCGCGGCACAGCAAAACAAGCGAAGACGTTTTCTTTTGTCTCGGCTGCTGCTTGGCCGCGTGTCTGCGGCTCTACGCCACCTTGGCCTCCTCCCCTCCATTCACAATTTCCTTCCCATTCCCGTGGTGAGAGAATAGGGACAAACCTTTCTTTTCTTCTTTCCTTCCTTTCTTTTCCTTTCTTGCCTTCTCTCTTTCTCTTTCACTCTTTCTTTTTCTCTTTCTTTCTTCCTTTTCCTTTTTCTTTTTTTTCTTTTTCTTCTCTTCCTCCCTCCCTCCCTCCTTCCCTCTCTCCTTCCTTTCTTCCTCGCTTCTTTCCTTCCTTTCTCCCTCCCTTCCCCCTTTCCTTCCCCCCTTCCTTCTTCCCTCCCTCCTTTCCCTCCTTCCTTCCTTCCTTCCTTCCTTTTTTTTTTTTTTTAAATTTAAAGCAATTGCAACTTAAATAAAGTCAGCATCCAGGAGGTGTGAAAAGACAGAAGGTGACGTGGAGCTGCCCCAATCCCAGCTCTGGCCATGGGTTTGGCCGTGGCTGAGGATCCCCAGGCACAGCGCCCACCTGGGCTCAGTGCTCCTCATTATCCCTCTCAGCTCCCGTAACCATTTATGCCACTTCTGTGCAAAAAAAAATAATAAATCAGTGATGGATGTGCTGGGAAGGGCTCAGCATCGGGGGGAGAGAGGGGAAAAAGGGGGGAGGTTGGAGAGAGCTTAAAAATTACAGTGGGAATTAGCAGGAGTCTAAGCTGTTGTTTGCGCTGCCCATTAGCATCTGCCTATTTATCTGTCACCAGATCCTCGTGGCATCCATCCATCCATCTGGGTCCTTGTCAGTCTGTCTGCCTACCTAATTATCCATTAGCATGGCAAAGCCCCGTGACAGCGGTCCTGGCGAGTCAGACACGAGACCACCTCATCTGCCCTTGCCATCGCCCGGATCCATTTATGAGCATGAACTGCCAAAACTGGGCTCAGAACGGCCCCAACAGCGCTGCCTGGGGAGATGCAGAGCAGGGTTGGTCCGTGGGGTGTTACTGTGTGCGCCGTGTGCTCACACACCAACATGCTGTGTGTGTGTGTGTGTGTGTGTGTGTGTGACACACCGTGTGCTTTCGCTGCTCATCGATGCTCCATCTTGGTTAGATGAGAGAAAATCAGAGCCAGCGTGCTGGTGGGGCTGCGATGGGCACAGCGTTGGTGCAATGGGTGCAGTGATGGGCACTGTGTTGGTTCCATGGGTGCTGTGGTGGTGCAGTGGGCATTGTAGTGGTACAATGGGTGTTATAGTGGTGCAGTGGGCTCTGTGTTGGTTCCATGGGCTCTGTGTTGGTTCCATGGGCTCTGCGTTGGTGCAGTGGGCGTTGTAGTGGTGCAGTGGTCACTTTGTTGGTGCAGTGGGCACTGTGCAGGCACAATGGGCACTGGCTGTACCTCGCCATGCGTCCAGCAGCCCCGGTGCCGTTGGCTCTTTGTGCCCGTGCCGCCGCGTGGGTTTCTTTGTTCAGGCAGCAGCAGTGGGCAGGTTCCCCCTCCCCGCCTGCCCACGGCCCTGCTCAGCCCGAGGAGCAAATCAGCGGCGTTTGCATATTCAGAGCAGGTGGGGGCCCATATGCCTAAGATGCACCAGACAAAATTAGCCACCATAATCATAATCAACTGTGCCGTTGTGCTGGGGGAAGGGAGAGGTTGGCAGACAAGCCTGATAATTATGAAGCTCAGCATGTGCGCAGCGGTTTTGCAACAATTATGCCTAGCTCAGCAAGCCGGCAATGATGCTTGTTACAACAACCCTCAATCTGCAGCCCGCCCTCCGGTCGTGTGCTCCCAGGAGGGCTGTGCTGCACCAGGGGTGCCGTCCGTGGTGGGGAAGGGGACACGAGGATGGGGATGGGAACGGGAGGACAGTGTGGGGTGGTGGCCGGACCCCATCCTGCTGTCCAGCCCGCCTGGCCAAGCCGTGGCAGTTGGAGGAACCATCCTGCCCAGCAGCTCGCTGCATGGAGAGCATTGCAACCCCTCTACATAAAGGAGCTCTGGAGCTCCACTTGCACCAAACGGGTTTATTTTTGCCTCCCAGGACTTTTTCCCTTTCCCACCCTCCTCCTCTCGTCTGTGCAGCTCGGTGGTGGCAGGAGGTGACACTCCAGATCCATCCCCAGCCCGGTGCTGGCAGGGCGGTGTCATGCAGCATTTCCCTGAACGAGCCCTGGGGAAGGGAACGGCTCGAGATGCTCTGTGGTGCAATGAGGAGCAGCCCCTGCTCTGTGTCCTTGGGAAGCAGTGGTGGCAGGGTGCAGCCAGCAGAGGAGAGGGGAAATAAAGCAGTTTCCTCTTTTAAATACGCTGGGAGCTGCCCCAGCTCAGGCCAGCTGGACTCAGGGGTGGTGCTGGGGTGCATCCCCCAGTGCACTGCAGATGGAGGCACTGATGCTGCAGCCATTCCCTATGGGTGAGGTTGGCTTCCGTGCAGAGGGCACAGTGCTCTCCTGAAATTGTGTTGCCAGCTGCAATCTGGGCATTTCAACCTGAATTTGGGGTTTGCAGCACAACCCATGGCCTCACAATGCTGCAGCGATGTGGGGTTGGAGCTCAGCATGTGTGGAAATCACGGCTGTGCTCTCCCCAGCATCTCTCCTCCTTCCACTCACCTCCTGCATGTGAGGGAGGACCCTTCCCCAGGTGCAGTTATGGGGATCATGCAGCCCAACAGGAGAGATTTGCCCATGCACCTGCAGCGTCCCAAGAGCATTTCTGCCCATTACCTCCCAGTCTGTTGAACGGAAAGATGCTTCAAACCAGCACAGAAACGTTCTCAGCACTGGAGATGGCTCCGCTCTGCAATGGAGATCAGATGGGCTCTGCTTTGTTCCAAATGAGACAGTAGGAGAGATGCTAAAGGGACCATTTGGTTCATTTATCCCATGGCTGGCACAGAATCGTTCCCAGGGCACTTCCCAAAATCCCACAGAACACATCCACCCTGTGGGCATTCCCGACATCCCTGAAGCCCCAGGAGCACACAGAGGTTTGCACGGACGTGCCGAGGTCCCACTGCCTCTCCCCATCCTTTGGGACAGGCTGCATTTTGCTGATGTAAAAGGATTTCAAGGCAGATGTTCCAATGTCTGTTGTCATTGGGGCAGTCAGAGCACGGGGTTTGGGGATCAAATGGGACAATGCCAAGGGCGCAGACACACGATGGCTGTACTTTGTGCACGGCGCCAGCTCTGTGTTGCGCCCAGGATGGAGCATTTGGGGCACCTGGGCTGCTCTGCCCCTCCGCTTTGGCTTTCACGGCTGGAGGAATCATTGGAGGGAAATGCAGCAAAATAACTCAGAAATGTGTATTTTTTTTCCTGCCTTTCCCACTCCCAAAGCTGCTGTTGGGAGCAGAGCAGCCTTGCAAGACTTGGGGGAAGCAAGGACATTCCCCCACCTGTTTGCTTTTCAACTATTTTCTTTTCAGCAACAGCTGAAGAGCAGCAACTTGCTGGACTATAAATTCCCAAATTCCCCTGATCCTGAGCACAGCTTTTATTCAGATGCAGGCGGCTGAGCGGGGGAGAAGGTGACCACCGGCTCCATAAATATTATATGGGGCGACGGCGCTGCGCGGGGCCGTGGGCGCAGACAAAGCGCGCATTGAGCCGCTGGCCCAGCTGCTGCGGGCGGCCAGGATGGGGGTCAAGGTCAGAGGTGGCCCTGTGCACATTATCCCCCCCCCCCCCAGCCGCTTTCCCCATGTCCATGCCATAAAGTGGAGCGGCTGCTGCTGGCTGTCCCAGCGGGGTCGTGCAGGAGGGGAAACTGAGGCACCGTGCAACGACGCGCCGGTGCTTTAATCTCCTGGGGATCCTATGGGGATCCCTGTTTATATCTGCCTTCACTGTGGGTTTATCCATGGAGGGACCATGGGGGGGCTTTGGGGTGCTCCAAGGGCAGCCGAACCCATCCAGGTTCAATTCTGCTGCCGTGCAAACTTGGATTTTAGAATATTTTACTCCCTTTCAGGCAATCCCTTAGCAACGCTTGTTTCCATGGCAAAGAGCGGAGAACCTCGGCGCTGATGCTGAGCTTTGCCTCAAACTCCTGTTCTGATCTTGCTCCAGGTCCATGTATGGGGATGGAGCCGGGACAAGGCAGTGCCCATCCTGCACTGGGCACAAGGAGCCCTGAGCACAGGGAGCTCCTGCAGGAAGGGAAGGGGGAGCTCAGCTCCATCCCTGTGAGCCCCACGCTGGGGGAGGGTTGTGGGGCATCTCCAAGCCTCACTGAGAGCAAATGAGGTGCAGTTAGCAGCTGGGGCAGATCTTCAGAGATCATCCCTTCCAACCAAACCACTGTATGGCTCTGTCATTCCTATTGTAAGAAATACCCCCAAAGGCACACAAGGTGAAGCACCTCTGGGATGATGCTGCCAGCTCCCCATTCCCCAGGAAGGCCCTGGGGTTAAACCCAGGGAGTTAGGGGATAGGATGAGAGCTGTTATCCTGGGAAAGCACTTATGACTGAGGGGACTTTTCCTGAGTGCAAACCCAGTGCTCAGACTTGGGATTTGGTCACGGTTTCCATTTCAGTCGCACCCAAAGGCTGATGGCTGCTCACTGGTGGCAGTGTGAGGGCTGGGAATGCTGCAGGGCCGGCGGGGCTGCGGTGCTCGTGCTCCTTCCCAAAGGCAACAACACACTCCAAAATCATCATCATCGTTCCTGCAGAAAATCCAGACGTAGAGGATGTTTTTTAGCTTTCAAAAATCCCAGCACCACTCACAGCGTTTTGTAGGGAGCAGACTCAGGTTGGATATTCCATTTCTCAGTGGAGAGCACCCTGCCTTGGTGGCCAGTCCCAGAATGGGTCTGTTTGGGACGATGCTCAGGTCCAAGCACCAGGGATTATGCAGGGTCTCCCATTTTCTTCCCCAGTATCAGCATTTCCACGAGGAGAACCCCCTCAGCTCAGCCATTGGTGCTTTTGGTGATATTTAAGGCCATGCTGAACACTCCATCTGCAGCTGATCCCTGCAGGTCACAGTGCTGATATCAGGAGGTGCCTTCTTGCCTGGGCATGGGCACCTGGTGCCAACATGCCCCATTCACAGCCATACAAACACCTCTATTCTTCATTTACATCGAATAAAACACACTTTTTCTAAAAAGAAGCAGGGAGGATGCAGCCGCCATCCTTTTCTCTTCTCAAGGATGGGCAGAATTCAGCACGAAGTTGCTCACCGTGCGCCCGCTTCCTCTCCACAATCAAAATCTTTGCAGTCCTGCAGTATTTTCCTTTGTATCCCACAGCAAAAGAGCCTTGAGAGGAGCCTCGTGCAGCTGTTCAGTGGGCAGCCCCAGTGCCAGCAGCATTGCACCAGGGGCAAAGGGCAAACTGCATCCACCCCCATCCCCAGCAAAGGGGCAGCGCTGCTGCTGGGCACCGATCGCACCGTGGTGCAGGGGATGGCCACACCACGGCCCTCTCATCCTTGCTCCTGGAGGAGGAAAGGAGATCCTCCTCCCCTGCTTTTATTTTGCTGCAACGGGCGCTACTTCTTGCAGTGCTCCCAAAGGAGTCTTAAAAACTCCCAAATCTGACAGCTGAAACCGGCTCTCGCTCTGCTCATTTCCAAGTGCTCACCAGCCCTGCTTTATTTACGCCTCTTGTTGATGCCCCCGTCCCCCCACCCCCAGCCCTGGCTTTCTTCATGCACACACACAGCACCAGGCTCTGCCGTGCTGCTGGGAAGGGGCAAAATTAATCCCTATGGAAATTTATTGAAATTAATTCCCCGCTCGGACACTCAAGCTGTTCCCAGCCCGGCTTTTCCCAGGGCAGAGCAGCCGGGGAGGAGGGAACAGGACGGGGGCCCCGGTTCCCACCTGTGTGGAGCAGTGGGATTGGGATCTTCTCATTCCCTCTGCATTTAGGATCTGCTGAGACCCTCATCCCAGCCCAGCCCCTGCACCGAGCTCAGGTGGAGCAGCATCACCCCATAGGGCTGTCACAGGAGGGCACATGGGGTGGCACTGGGGCAGAGCCAGCACTGCATTGAATCCCAAGCCCATAAGGGAGTGGAAGCAATACCCCCAGAATGGGGCTCTGCAGCATCTGCATCCCACAGACAAGGTTCCTTTGAGATCAGGCACAGACGTGGCCTCGTCAGCGCCGGAGAAATGGCTGGAGGTGGGAGTGGGGGCACAGCCTGAGTTTGCAGAGAGCATCCTCATGGATGGGAGGATGAACCCTCACCCCAAAACCTCATTGGAGGCAGGGATCGGGGATCGGGGCTGGGTGAAGCAATGGAACAGGCACTTGGCGGGGATTTATGCCATGCAGCACTTGTCAGTGCAGGTTTAGCACCCCATAAAGCAGCGCTGAAGGCCGAACGTGAAGGGAGAACACAAAGATGAGCAATTAAGGAGCGAATTCAGGTCCCACCAAGGGAGGGATGCATCGGTGGGGAAGGAGTGTGGGATGGAACCGGGATGCTGATGCTCTGTGTCCCTCCACAGGAACAGGGATTTGCTGACTGCATCCCACAGACACAGTGCTGGATCCCCCTCGGCTGACCCATGGCATGAGGACACAGCTGAGAACACCACTGTTTTTCCCCAGGACAGCCTGTTTGCAGCACATCCAGCGCAAGGCACAGCTCTTGGTGAGGATCTGGGGGCAGCACCCACCTTTCTGCACACTGGGATGTGATGTTTGTCCACACTGCCAGGATGGGCTCTGATCAGAGGGTGGGTGGTGGCACTGTCACCTCCTGGGGATGGGACTCTGGCAGTGTCCATCGAGGGCTCACACCCATTTCTCCCTTTAACAGGTGATGTGAGAGGACGCCGTGTGGTCTGGATGGCCAAGAATGGCTGGAAAAGAGCCCAGGCACTGACTGAAATGTGGGCAGGGTCCGGGCAGGTCCCCTCCCTGTCCCCAGGGTAAATTCTTACTCTGTCCCATCACTGGACCCTGGGGGTCCTGGGGCACAGAGCTGCAACCACTGCACCCAAGGCACCGGGAGACAAGACCTGCAGCAAGTGGAGGTGAAAAGGAAAAACAACAAGTATATTAAAGGTGTTGAAAGCCTACAGCAGTGCCACAGCCTGGTCTCCCTTGTGTTGCTGATGTTGGAGCAGAATTTTCCTATAAGCCACCCCAAAACTCCTTCCCCAGGGTCCCCAGCCCTGCAGAAGCTGTCCCAGCCCCCTTGGGAGCCAGCAACCATCCCTGCACAGCCACTGTGCTGCAGGACACAGCCATGGGATCAGCTCCTGTGCCTCTCCTGTGTGCAGTCTCCCTCTCTTCTATCTCAGTCCAACGCTGGGAACCGGGCCCAGCTCTGCTTTGCCAAAGCCTGGTAGCAGTTGTGGCACTGGGGGGACTCACAGTGGGGACAGGAGGGGCACCAGCACCCACCGCTCCCACCCCTCCCCAACTTATGCCACCCCCCCCAGGACTCACTGCAGCTCCCAGCTCCCACCTGCGTGGCTTTAACTCAAATTCCCAGCTGAGCCTGGAAACCCATCCCCTGCAGCTCCAAAACCAGGAGCACTGGTGTCTGTGAGCCTGAGTTCTTACTCACTGTCAGGATGCCCAAGCTGCAGATCCAACCTTGGATCTGGAGAGGGCTCCGAGCTCCCCTAGGACTCCACCATCAGCTTTGACACTTTGGGACGAGCACCAAAACGCAGCGCTGCTCCATGTGGGTGCAGCTCAGGGCTGTCCTCTCCCAAACCCATCGCACCGGCACCGCACGCGCCTGCAGCAGCATCCCACCACCCAAATATTGAGCCGTGCATTCAGTCACCCCGCCGAGGGCCGGGGCAGCGCGGCTGAAGGAGCGTGGCAGTTTGTTATGCTAACCGAGGGGGGCTCCGCTCGGGGGACGTGTCGGAGAGGTCTGAAGAGCAAGGAGTTCACAGGCCCTCTCCCTTTGTCATGCTAAAAGTGCAACACAGAAAATATATACAGGCAGCTGCTCAATGGAGCGTGAAATACAAGTGATTTCTCCGGGAGCTCTGGGTAATGCAATGCAGCCCAGACAATGCCCACCGCAGCCCCACCGCCTTTGTGCGAGATGGAAAACTTCGGCGGGGGGAAACAGGACGGCAGCTCTGAACCCACAGCTGCCCCAGAGGGCAAAGTCCCTGAGAGGGTCCCCAACACCCACCCATAGGGACCCCAACAACCGTAGGGTCAATAACACCCATACGGACCCCAACACCCATAGGGTCCCTAACGCTCATAGGGTCCCCAACAGCCATAGGGTTCGTAACGCTCATAAGGTCTCCAGCATCCATGGGGCTCTCTGCCATAGGATGGATGGGCACTCCGCTGCCACATCCCTGGGATCGGCTCTGGGATGCGGCCCCAGCAGCACTGGGGACGTGGCCAGGCCTGGCACGCTGTCCCCGAGCACGGGGTGGGGACCCCGTTAACGGCACGCCGACATCCCAGCAGAGCCGAGCACCGCCCGCGGCAGCAGCTCCTATTGCTGATGCAAATTGGAGCATCCCGCAGGAGGAGGGAGCGGTGTAAAATCAGTCCTCAAAGGAGCTTTTGTGTCTCCGGGGCTGAGGTGCTCAGAACATCCATCTTTCCCCTTTCCCTTTTTTTTTTTTTGGAACTGAAACCCGACACTGAGCCGAGGGGGGTTGGCGGGGGGGTTCCCGGGGCCCCGAATTCGTTCCAGGCACCGACATCCCCCCGGTGCATCCCCTGCGAGGGGTGGGGGTCCGGGGGGTGGGGGGGTCGGGACACGGGCGGTGCTGGGGGCGGGGGGCTCTGCTCGTGGTGAGGGCGCCCGGCAGTCAGCAGAGGGGGGCTCGGGGGCGCAGTAACCCGTGAGCTCGGCCCTATCGTTGGAGGGCTGCGCAGGTCCGGGGGTGTCTGGGGAGGTTGCTGCTGCCCTCCGCCCCGGGCCGGGTACCCCAACCCACGGGAGACGCTCGGGGCACGGGCGGAAGCGACATCTAGCGGGAACGCGTCCCGTCGCCCGGAAGATCGATATCCATGGCAACCCCTGGGCATCGCCCCAGCCCGGCCCGGGGGCACCGGCAGCGCCAGGGACCCCCCCCCGTTGGGGTGAACTGGTGCCCATAGCGAGGTCAGAGAGGTCAGCGTGAAGTGCTCTCGAGCACCGTGCTGGGCCCGGGTCACCCCGGAGTGCCAGGAGCAACGCACGATGCTGTTTGCAATGCGCGAAGCTCTTTGCAATGCACGAAGCTGTTTGCAACGCGCGCAGCGATGCACGGTACGGTTTGCAGCACACAGAGCGATGCACGCTGCACAGACCCTTCCCCTGCCGTCAGACAGCGCTGCCCTGGCATTGCCCACTTTGTCCCCTCCGGTGTCACAGGGCAGCAAGGGGGTCAAATGCATCAAATGCATCAAACGGGAAACTCGTGCAGAAGGAGCCGCAGCTTTCAGAGCTGTGCGCACCTCTGCACTCCGAGCACAACAACCGCGGGGCTGCGCGGGCATTGCAAAGCCTCCCTTCGTGCACACGTGCAGCACACAGGGCGCACGCACGATGCACACACACGCACACGCTCCGCAGGGCTGCACGCACGGAACGCAAACACGGCACGGAACCACAGCTCCCAGCAGGCAGCGCCCGCGGAACAGACCGCCAGCAGAGGGCCCGCCCCCCCCCCCCCGGGGACGCTGCCTTTCCATTGGTCAAAGAGCTGCCAATCGTCACGAGGACAGCGTCGGATTGGCCAGCTGGGAGAAGGGATGGAGGGTGGGCTTCCTGTGGCCGCCTTTGCGCTGACCCCAGCATGGTGAGAGCGGGGCGGGGGGTGCAAGGCCTGGGGGGGGGGGGAGGGGGTACATGGCTGCCCGGGGGAGGTGCATGAAGAGGAGGGAATGCTCAAAGGTGTGTGAACGGGCTGTCCCGAGGGGGTTACGTTTAGGGGGTTGCATGTTCAGGGTGCTCCGGTGTGGGTGAGTGCCTAGGGGTGTTGCTGGGTTCGTGCTCCGGGCTGCATAGCCGAGCCTGTGCCGGGAGGGTGCACGGCCGGAGGTGTTGCATGGTGGGTGCATGATAAGGGTGCGTGGCCAAGGCTGTCCCGGGGAGTGCACAAGCAGGGGTTGCACATCCAAGTTGGATCGAGGGGAGTCCGTGCTCAAGGGGTGCACGGCCAAAGGTGGGCTGTCCTGGGGGGCTGCATCTGGGGGATTGCATGCCCAGTGTGCTCGAAAGTGACTGGTGCATGCCCAGGGCTGTACGCATGCCTGGGTTGTCCCACAGCCCCTTTGCTGCTGGGGGCTCCCCCGGCACAGAGGGGCTCCAGGCAGGGTTGTGGCAATGCAAACCCTGAACCATCCCCGTGCAGGCGGTGATGGGGGTGCAGGTGGTGGTGAGCCTGCTGGCAGCGAGCATCATGCAGAAGTTGGCCCCGCACTGCTCTTTCGCTCGCTGGCTGCTCTGCAATGGCAGGTATGCCCCCCCCCCGGCCCTTCATCCACAGGGTTTGGGGTAAACCCGGCCCTGCTGACTCCTGCTGCTGTGCAGCCTGCACCGCTACAAGCACCCATCAGAAGAGGAGCTCCGTGCCTTGGCAGGGAAGCAGCGCCCCAAGACCAAGCGGGACAGGTCAGCACTGCAGACACCCAGTGGGGGTGGTGGGAGTGATCCCCAGTGTTGGGTTCCCCTTGAGCTGCCTGAGGGTACCAGGGGTCCCTGCTGTCAACGGGCTGAAGTTCAAGAAGGCTGAGTGCCAGTTCTGCACTTGGGTCACAACAACCCCATGCGTCCCTACAAGGCAGAGCGATGGGAGGGAGCGATGCGGATGGGTCAGGTGGGACTTGGCGATCGTAGAGACCTTTTCCAACCTTCCTGATTTTATGATGAGGAGCTCCCAGACAGGGATGCGCAACGCTGGGGGACGCGAGGCGCACTGCAGCTCTGTGCCCAGTTCCCCAAGCCCATCCCTTGCAGGAGGATGAATGGTGTGACAGATGACAAGCCGCTCTCAGTGCCCCGTGACATCGACCTGCACCTGGACACCTCCCCCATCACCGCCGTGGATGCTCTCGGTACCTCCCAGCGCCCTTCTCCCCCTGCACCCAGCCCCATTTGGTGACCCACAGCCACAGTGGTGACATCTCCTCACGGCCTGCAGTGCTGCGCTATTTCCTGGAGTACCAATGGTTCGTGGACTTTGCCGTCTACGCCACTGCTGTGTACGTCTTCACCGAGGGCTACAGCTGCGTGGTGGAGCCACAGAGGGAGATGAACCTCGGGGTGCTCTGGTGCCTGCTCACCGTCTTCTTCTCCATGTATCCTTGTGCCTGCTGCTGCTCTTTTTGCTCCTTTTCCTTTATTATTATTATTTTTTTTGCAATGAAACGCCATTTGGGGTAGAAGATGAAAACTGATGGACTTACAAAGCTTTGCTGCTGAGCTGTGCCCAGCAAGAGCCTTCCCTATGGGCCTAACGGCATGGATGGTGTGAGGGTCCCACTGGTGTGGGGGTTGTCCCTGCAGCCCCCCATTTCCTTGACAGCCCCCTGCCTTCAGAAAGGTCTTCTTCATGGTGATGCGCCATTACTTCCGCTCAGAGGAGGGCGGCGAGCGCTCCGTCTGCCTCACCTTCGCCTTCTTCTTCGTCCTCCTGGCCATGGTGGTCCTGGTGGTCCGCGAGGACTATCTGGAGTTCGGCCTGGAGCCCGGTGGGTGCGGGGAGCCGGGGTGAGGTGGGCGGCCCTGGGCATCCACTGACGGCTGTGTGCTGCCCACAGGGCTGGACAGTGTCAGCAGCAACCTGGAGAGCATCCTGAAGCCACGGGGGTGGGACTGGACGTGAGTTGATTTCAGGATGGGAAATGGTGGTTTATTTTTGGAGATTGCTTTGAAAACGGTGCTTTGTCCCTCTGTGACCCAAAGGACAGAGGGTCCCCCACAGCTCTGTGGGATTGGGGTCAAGCCGTTTCCCCGCCTTCCCTTGTTTTTCTGCAGGCTGCCCCTCGCCAAGCTGGCCTTCAAGCTGGGGCTGGTGGCCCTCTGCTCCTTCCTCGGTGCCTGCCTGACCTTCCCGGGGCTGCGCCTGGCCCAGACGCATCTCGATGCCCTCCGGATGGCAGCCGACAGACCTCTGGCCCAGTTGGGTGACACTGCAGTGTGGGGAGGGGGCATAGGAGCCGGGACACCCCCGGTTCTGCTGTGGTGGCAGAGAGTGAGGGGGGCCGGGAGAGGGAGGAGACGGGGACGCGGCTGTGCCTGATGTCTGCGCCGCAGGGTTCTGCTCCATGTGAGTTTCCTGGCTCCGGTACTGGTGGTGGTGATGTGGATCAGGCCCATCTCACGGGACTTCCTGCTGCACGCGCCCATGGGCAAACAGACGGTGCAGATGTGAGTGGAGCACGGGGGGCAACGGCCTTCCTCTGAGGGGAAACTGAGGCACGGGCGCACCTCGTCCCCATTCCTTCCCTGGGAGATTCCGGAGCGTGGGACCCCCCCCGGCAACCCCGTCCTCTCCCCCCACGCAGCCTGTCGGACTCAGCCTACAACACGGCGCGGCTCTGGGCCGTGGTGGGGCTGTGTGGGCTGCGCCTGGCGGCCACCCGTCCCCACCTGCAGGCTTACCTGTGCCTGGCCGAGCGCTGGGTGCAGCAGATGCGGAAGGAAGCGGGACGCATCGCCGCCGTGGAAATCCAGCGCAAGGTGCGTGCCGGGGGGCCGGGCTGAGGGTTGGCTGTCAGCCACACCGCTGATGGCCGTCTGTGCGCAGATCACGAGGATTTACTGCTACGTGCCCGTGGTCAGCCTGCAGTACCTGGGGCCCATCATCCTCACCCTGCACTGCGCGCTGCTGCTCAAGACGTTGGGTGAGTCACCGCCGGGCTCAGCTGCAAGGCTCAGGGCTGGGGACATGGGGACTGACCCTCCCCCCCCCTCTGTCTACCGGCCCCTCTGCCCCACAGGGCACCACTCGTGGGGGCTGTACCCGGAGTCCCCTTCCGTCCCCATGGCGGTGGCCATGACAGCTTCGCATCCTGGTGGTGAGGATGGAGAGGACGTGCGTGTGGCAGTGGAGCAGATCACGGGCGTGCTGGGCGGCATCCTCACCCCGCTCTTCTTCCGTGGACTCTTTGCCTTCCTCACCTGGTGGGTGGCCGCGTGCCAGGTCGTCACCAGCCTCTTCGGCCTCTACTTCCACCAGCACCTGGCCGTGTCCTGACTGGGGGAGCTGGGAGCCGTGCTCGTGTCCCATGCCTGTGGGGTGTTTGTCTTCGTCACCTCACTCCCACCTCGGTTGGTTTCCCTGCTTCCATGTGCCTTTGGGACATGGGGACGCTCCTGCAGCCGGCTCTTGGCAGGATGGGTTTTATGCATGGGGGTGCAGCAGTGCATTGCCTCTCCCCTTCTGCCAGCCATCACCGCTGTGCCTGTCCCCATTGCTCCGGCCCCATGCAGTGACATTAGAGCCAGGTTCCCACAGTGGGGTTTGCTGCTGCCGGCTCCAAACCATTGCCCAAAGCTCTGCTGCCAGCAGGGATCCCAGCAGGGACTGTCACAGTGCGGTGGGTTTGGGGCAGCAGCCTCATTTCCCGGAACAGACTTTGGGGTTTGCTCTGCGTAGTTTGCCTCCCCTGGCTGACTGTGTGTGTCTTTATAGGGTCTCTGCTCCTCCCAGTGAGGTCAGAGCTCTTGGGGTGGTCCCCTCTGCTTGGTGTGAAATCCTTCGGACCAGCAACTTTGGCTGTTGGCTGTTTTAGAAATAAATAACCCAGAGCTCGTTTGATCATCCCAGTGCTGCTGCTTTGTGTTTTGCTGCCCCGAAGCCCCTCTTGGAAGTGCTCTGGCAGCAAGGGGTCAAGGCTTGTCCTGGGAACACAACCAGGCCAACATGGCTCTGCTCATCCCAGCGGGGTTAGGGGCTATGGGGTACACAGCCCTCCTGCAGCTCCAATGGGCTCCTGGAGGCAGCAGCACGGTGGGTGCTGGTCCAGCTGCATGTAAAAGGATTAGCAGGTCTGGGCTGCTCAGAGAAAGGAGAGGGGCTCTGATCCTATTTGATAGCCTTGTAATGGTCTTAATTCCCTCTTGCTAAGGGCCGAGATGAGAAAGCAGCTCTCTGCCCGGTGTTAACAGAGCTAATCCAGACAGCCTTCCTCCAGCAGTATCCAAACAGCAGAAAAATAAAGGGGAAATTCCCCTCTTGCAAAGGGATGGGAAAACCTGAGCCCAGAACAACACCCTGGATGAGCAGAAGGCAAAGAGAAATTGAGCTCCAGCAGCACTGTCACCAAGGAGCAGGGAAAGGTGCAAGGAGGGAGATTCCCCTAGGGCCGGGATGCAAAGAGGCTTGTCCCATTAAGAGCCAGCCCAACTGCCTTGATGGCTCATTTATCTAATTTTCCTGAAGCATGTGCAGGAAGCAGCCGGAGGCTGAGCTCAGGGAAGGCTGGCAGCAGGAGGAGGGTTGCTAAGGCCTGGGGTTGTGCTGCAGTCAGACATGCAGACAGTTCCTCCCCAGAGATCTGCCCAGACGTGACCCTCTCAGGCAGGGACAATGACTGATAGACTCGCCAAGAGCAGGAGACAGATCCACCAGCAATGAAATTGGGCCACATCAAATAAAATGAGAGAGCCCCCCATCTTTCTCTCCCTAGAATTATTTCCCTCCTTGTATCTTTGCTTTATTTGGGTGACGGTACAGACTGGGCTCTGCTCCACAAAGGGCTCTCAGCAGAGAGGAGCAGCTGGGACCGAGCAGCTTTGTGCTGCAGAGGCTCTGCTGGCACCAGGATGCCCTGCTGTGACCTGGGGTTGGCCTTACATCGCCCCTATTGCCATGGTGCACACCTACCTCCAGCTGCCAACGAGTTCCTGGAGGTCCTCCTTTGTGCCCCAGGGCAGGGAGGAAAGCAGCAAACCCTGCTCCCATCTCACCTGGGATCCCCTCGCTCCCACCCCAAGTGGGATCCCGTTGCCACCCTTACTGAGCATTGCTGACCCCCAGTTCGTTCTGTGCTCAGCACCACAAACATGGATGGGGAAGCAAACCCCAAACCCCAATTAAGCAGAGGAGGAGATGCCAACCTTCAATTGCAGGATCGAAGCAGCGGCTGCAGGGAAGGTGGATATGAGGGCTGTTGTTCAGCTCTGCCTCAGGCTTCCTGCAAGGATTGGTGCACATTTTGCAGCCCGTGGTGGCCAGTTTCCCTGGGGATGTAGCAGGGAGTGCAGAGGATTGCTATACAGGGCTGGATCCATCCCCACTGCCCAGCAAGGAGCAGAGACAGCAAAGCACCACCACCCTACAGCCACACGAGGCCTGAAAGGCAGCTGAAAGCACCGAAAACCCCAAGAGCTGAGCAGGACTGAGCAGAGCGGGGGGACCCCAACTTGGGGGAAGCCACCGGGCCATGGCTAAGCCGACAGTGCCACCTGCTGCCACTGCACACCCATCCCCATCCCACTCTGCAGCGCTGGGGATGGGCACTGCTGGGAGAAGAGCCACGATGCTTTGAGGCAGTTGCTGAGCTGCTCTTCCCCATCTTCTGTGGCGTTCAGGTGGGAGCTGCGGGCACAGAGATGTGGCAGAAGCACGAGGAGGACGTGCAGCCCCAGCCCTGACATCACCACGTTCAGTCCATCAGTAAATCCACCCAACGTGCCACGCTTCTCTCTTGTGACGATGCGCAAAGTGCAACAGAAAGGGCCCTTCACAGCCTGCAAAGTCAATTAAATTTTTTATTAAATATACATCCTCTCTTGGCACAAATCTTAAAATATATAAACATTATATACCAAAGTGTCTTCACTGCAATAAAATAGAATTCCAGATCCAAGAAAAGCAGTCAGAAATTGACGCACGCACACACACTGATGGTGAGGACACGTCTGGACAAAAGGCAGTTAACAGTGTTTGTGTTAATATATGCATAGACCACACAGGCAGCAAGCAGTGCTGGGACACCCTGCATCCACCACACGGCGTGCAGAGCAGTGGGAAGCACCAGCCCTGCCATAGCAAAGGCTGTCGTGCAGCACAGCTCCAGACCTCCTCCTCTGCACCAGCCCAGCAGAAAAGGGCTGGATAATGCTCATCCTATGCCTTTCAGTGACTTCATGCCCCTGCTATCTTTGCCTGCAGCATCAGCTCTTCCCACATTGCTTGCACAGAGCGCAGCACTGCGTGGAGGTGCCCAAAGAGGAGCTGGTGAGCAGCAGCACCTTGCAATGAGCCAAGGAAAGGCGTGAGGCTGGGCAAGGAACCCAAGAACCTTCCCCAAACCTTCTGCCCCTTTACCTCACGCCTTTCCCTTCCTGCCCCGTGCAGAACTCTCCTTGCCCATGAGCAGGACTGTTTCGGGGATCACTACCAAAGCTCCAGTTTTGTCACTCTAGATGCATTTCACTGGACCTGATTTTCTCGAAGTGCAAGTGCAGAACTAAAGGTGCAGAAGCGGGAAGAAAAGACGAGGAAAATAATAATAAAAGCACAGGTGAACGTTTGGCAGTAATGCATTCGAGAGAAGTAAGATTCATGGCTTGAAAATTAAAGCAAGGAATTGAACGTGGGGTAGTAAATTAGTTTTAAAGAAAAGAAGAACCGGAGGATATTCCTGTTAGGCTTTTCTCTCTCAGAGCTGAAGGAATGGCTCTTGGCTGGCACCTCCCCTTCCCAATGTGTGCCCAGAGCTCCTCAGGCATTCATTCCGGGCAGCACAGAGACCTGGAACGTATCGCAATTCACACAAAGATTAAGAGAAGGGAAGAGAACACTCCGTTTCTCCTCTCGTACATTCAAACCAAGGAAAAAGAAAGAGCTATTCAAAACAGCCCACAGCAGTGACACAGTTATTCTCTCGCCCAAGAAATAAAAGCACCAAAACAATTACAGACTGAACTCAGATCTCTCTCTGAATAAGCTCTCAGTCTGCAGAACTTGGAGAAATGTGTTTGGCTGACAGCTCACTGAATTAAAATCAGGTGTAGCTGCTAATGAAGGAACAGCTTCCCTCAGCTCAGCACTTCCAAGCCAGGCTGTGCTTCAGGTCTCCATCCTCAGCTCAGCCCTCAGGCACCAGCCAGGCTGTGAGGTGCCACAAACCCCCCCCTCCATAGGATTTCCATTCACCAACACTCCAGCTGCACACCCAGCACGGCAGGAGGTGCCCTGCCTCATAAGACAAGAACTGCAGCATCTGCCCCAACCACCTACCACAGTGCAGAGCACAGGAGCCTGCCCGAGCTCAGAAGGCACAGCTCAGCATCCTCTGCTGTCACTACAGAAGTCACCTGTGCAAAGGACTGCGCTCCGAACCAGCAGCCTCCAAGCTGAGCAGAACTCAGTGCAGGTTGTCTATATGGCGGGATATGCAAGCACACACCTACAACAGCCACTGCTTACACTCTTCATTGCTGGTCTGCGCCTCGCTCCTGCTGAGATGCCCCAGCACCTCCTCACCAGGCCAAGCGAGACCGAAGCAAGAGCAGAAGTAATTGGCTTCTCCATTGGAGAAAAGAAATCAGAGCTCTTGCAAAGGACTGAACGTTTCACCCAGTGAAGAAAACGGCTGATCGTCTTCCATTATCAAGGGAGTGAAAAGACAGAGAACTCATGGCTGTCATCTCTAACGACTCTTACGGAGACACCTAACGTTTAGTTACAAGGTGAGATGGTGACTGCAGTCAAGTTTCACAACGGAAATCATCGCTGGTGGGCTCAGAGGCAGAAATCTCTGAGGTTCACACCCTGCCCATCCACGAGCATTACAGTGGGATCGATCCCCGTCTTCTGGCACCAACACACACACTAAACTGCAGGAGGCTGCCCACCACGTCCACCAAATGGAAGCACAAGTGCTCAGTTCCTAGGGAAATATTTGGCATTAGAAGCGAGTTATGCTCCGAAGAACAAGTGCAAAGACAAAAGAAAGGAAAAAGCTATTTCTACCAGTTGTGCAATTACCTCCATTCCCATTAATAAAGCTGTGACACGAGGGTCAAACTACAGTGACTAAAATATATACACCAGAGAAGGACAGCCTTTAGATTATGCCTTATTTTTTCTTTTATATGTTATCTCCCCTCTACATGGGTAGTATCAGCTGGGAAGGGATTTTTCATCTTGGCTTGTGGAATGGGATTCCCAGAGAACTCTAAAGCTCGCTGTGACCTCTTGCACTCCAAATTTAATACAGGAACAGAACATAAGACAAAGCCACCCTCAGATCTCCATTTCTCCGAAGCCTGACTTGAAATAGAAACAATGAAAGGTACTCTATCATTCATTTTCAAATTGCAACTGGAAATGATTGGCACTAGACATAAGTCCTGAGGAGCCCGTTCTCCTGAGGACACGGTCCAGAGGAACTCAAGGACTGAAAGCAAGTGGGGTTAGGTGTGCATTAAGAACACAGCAGGCACCAAAGGACAGCAGCTGTTGGGAAGCAGGGCCACCAGACAAAACCAGCCTTTGGGAGCAGCTCAGCCTGCATCACGTGTGCATCTCTGAGACGTTTGTTCCTGCAACGTGCATAAAGCAGCAACAGTAATACTGAAGGACATAACTGCTGAAAATTTCAGTATGTAACAGTTTCTCTTCTTGCCTAGGGCACTACAGCCAAATCCCTTGGAGAACAGCTGCCTTTAAGACCGTGACGGCAACGGAAGGGTTCTGACGGCCTGAAAGCACTGCTGCAGTTTGATCCAATCCAGTCTGTGATCCCAGGCACAGCCCCCATCAATGACACTGACAGCAAACATGAGAATCTGATTTACAAAACTGCTCAG